TGCTCTGCCAGGGAGGAGGGGAAGCCGGGAGGAAGCAGAGACAGGACACCTGACCCAAACTGACCAAAGAGGTATTCCATACCACAGCACGTCATGCCCAGGGGGGAACTGGGAGGTACCCGGAAGGAGAGGGGGTCGGCCGGGTCGGACTGGTGGTTCGGCGCGTGGTATTGTACTCCTTTCCTTTGCTATTTTCTCTTATCATTGTTGTCGTTGGTGGTAGCGGTGGTGATTCGTATTGTACACTAGTTGCTAGACTGTTCTTATCTCAGCCCGTGGGAGTTGCATTCCTTCGATTCTCCTCCCCACCCCTCTGGGAGCGGGGAAAGGGGGCGGCAGCCCCTGGGGAAGGGGGGGGGCGGACTAACGTGGGCCTCGATTGCTTCCAGCCTGGCACCACTCACTGGGAGTAAGTGAACAAGCTGTTTGGTTGGGTTAAACCACGACAAGCTGTGTGATCACTCAGCTTCCACATGCAATCCTGTGAAAGCTACCCATTTCTTCTCCCAAGTCCTGTTCACAGGTGGCCTTTCATTCATGTACTGTCCCAACTCTCTAATAGTCCCAGAAAATGCCTGGAACTTAATTTGTTTCCACCAAGTATGTAGAAAAGGGAAAAGGAGTGGGAAAGAGATATTTGCAGAGTTGTGGTTGATATTTCATGGCACATCTACTCCACTTTTACTGAGCTTTCTGATATAACAGTGTCCTGCTTTCAGCTGGTAGTGCTGTGTTTTGGCTTTTGTCTGAGAATAATGCTGATAACACAGAGACGTTTTAGTTGTTGCTCAGAAATGCTTACCCTGATCAAAGGCTGTTTGGTCTCTCATGCTTTGCCATTGAGGAGAGGCACAAGAAGCCAGGAGGGAGCAGAAACAGGACAGCTCATCGGAACTAGCCAAAGGGGTATTCCATACCACAGCACATCTTGCCCTGTATATAAACTGGGGAGCTACCCAGAGAGGACCAATAACTGCTGGAGGGTCGGCTGGGTATCAGTGAGTGATGAGCAATGGTATTAGGCATCACTTGGTTTTCTTGGGTTTAATCATCTCTCTCTTTTCGTTGTTTCTATTTTCATCTTCATTATTGTGGTTGTCATTGTTATTTTGTTCTTGTTGTTATTATATTTAATTTTGATTAACTGTTCTTATCTCCAGCCATGGGTTTTACTTTTACCAGTTCTCCTCCCCATCCCACCAGGTGTGGGGGTATGTGAGTGAGCAGATGCGTGGTCCTTAGAGCAACTGGGGTTGCCCAAGTCAGTAGGTTGTGGTAGGCAGTGTATTGCCATGAGTCCAGAAGCAGTGCTCATGCACAGTGAATGCAAATGCAGTTGTACTGTTTGCAGATCCAAACTGGTTTATGGGGAGCTAACCCAAATGTCTAGAAGTGTCTCATGCCTAGGTTCCTGCTCCTGGGAGAAACGAATGTTGTGAGATAGAAGGTCTCTGTACATGGCAGGTCTCAAGGAGTTCTGATGGCCATATGAATAGTCATGGTGGCCATATCTGCATAGTCAGATCTTGAGAGCTGAGGTTTATTAGCTCTGTGCTGTTCAGAGCAGGGACAGAGCATGCATGTGACATTTCTGCTGATCAGGAAGACCTACTCACTCCACATTTAACTGCACACTGACACATAAGTTCATGCTGCACATCCATGAAGTGATTCATTAAAAATATTTCATACTCATGTCAGTTTATCCTTGTGCTTTTTCTTAAATTAATTCTCCTCCAAATCACACTGAATCGTCTTTAACATCTGAAGCAGGGTGGGAAGGGGAGTAGCTATAGCCCGAGAGAGTTCTTTCAGACACAAGATGTTAAACTGCTTTTTGATCAGCTGCTTGTAGAAATGTACATTAAACTGTAAACCATGGCTTTCCTTGTAGCCAGCTAATGATCCTATCAGTTGCAGGCTAATTGCCTCTACCTTGTTTTAAATTCTGCTGCATTGAAAAAGCCAAAGTCACATTCTGATCCTGTTAATCACATTCAGCTTTGAAGAGTATGTAGTGGTTGTGTATTAATTCAACTTCTCTCCTGGTAATTTGTTTGATAGGCTGTTACTTGCAGTCTATATTAACTGAATAAATGTGTTCTGCGTTCTGATAGGAAGTTATGAATTTCTTGTCCGCTATTTTAATGCAGATGTTTTGCCTAGAAATTGGTATAAATTCTTCTCACCTTTATGTTCTCAAGTACTTTCAGTAGGAAGAATGAAAAGCAAGGGTGTTAACCCTTTGTTGAAGGTAATTAAGCAACAGAGGGAAAGCTCTGTATTGATAGATTAGGCAATTTTTCTCGCCTGAAGGCTTATCAGCTTATGAATGACTATGTAAATAATATACTAAAGCATGAGAGAGAGATGCTGGTGCCGTACCCTTTTAGTCTTTTTCTTCATCTCCAGCAATACCTATTGTTTCTGTTGTCAAGACCTAGAACAGAATCTGTCTACTCATTATTCCTTTTTCCATTTCTTTTAATATAATGCACACAAATGCACACCCATATTCTACATAGTGCTATGTGAGTCTTTCAGAAAAAGACTGAACATATGCCAAATTACCTTTCAGCTTTCCACATCATTTTTCTGAACAAGAGTATAAGACCACTGGATATATCCTATAAACACAAAACATGTGCTTATAGGATAAATATAAAATAAACATGTTACTAGGATATTTTTATTAACATTGGATCTATGTGATAATAAAGATTCATTGTGATTTTTACCTTTGAAATCCCCTGAATTAATGAGATTTTTTTTTCTCCCTGTTCTGAATTTCAAAGAGGAATACTTTTGAGTGTCATGGCCATGTAAAATATTTGTGAAATCTTTTTAGATTACTTGAAACATTTTAAAAATAACTGGTTTTTGGAGGCATTTTTTGAAGTTAACAGGAGAGACATTGACTTCAAATATAAGAAGCGTTCTCCGCTAAAAAAGAGGTTACCCTGTAAAATGCTAATGTCAAAATTATTTATAAAGAGAATTTGAAGTTGACTCTGAAATGTTTAGTTCAAATGCTGCCTGAAAGTGTGGACCATTCCTTACCAGATCAGCCTTTTTGAAAAACAGACTATTCATTTAGACTCCAGAATGTTTGGAAGCAAGGTCTGGAGACCTGGTGTTTATTAATTTGTGAAACAAACACTAATCAGCAGCTTGCATTTCCAAGAGGCACATTTAGGCGATGGAAGGAAGTCTCCTTGCACTATTTGCAGGAGAAAGAAGTCCCTTCAAGCAGTCCACGAAAGCATCAAAATCAGACTGCTGTGCTGAGTAATCGTTTGTTTAGTCGCACAGTCTCACTCCATTGACCAAAATTGAAAACAAAAAGAGGTTTGCCTCCCAAGGATACTTCCCTCACGTGGCGGGGTGCTGCTCCTAGCAATACTGCTGCTATCAGATGGCAATAAATCAGTTCATTATGGTAGAACTAATGGCATCTTCCACTTACTGTCACAGTGTCTCAGTATTAAAGCTTTAGTTTGCTATCTGTCTTCAGATGTTGGGGGAGGGCTCTCCGTATTGCTTGTCTGCACTAAGAATTCATTTTCCCTCTTATAAATGTACGCTTACAATTTTCTGTTTTCTTTTTTATACACTCCAAACTGTAGTGTCTGTCTTTCTAAGGCACTGTTTTGGACTAGCTGACTTCTTATACTTGCATATTTTTCATTCTGTTCTCATGACTAACTTTTTATGCTTTGTATCACATCTGTTCTTCTGTCTTGACCCATATTTCAGTCAAAATCTAGTTTGCTCAGGTGGCCTCAGCTTCCCAGAATTGCAACACTGGATCTTCAGCATTTGATAAGTGAGAAATTCTATATTTCTTCACCTTCTCCTTTTAATTTCTTGCAGTAAAAACATCACTGATCTTCTCATGGAGTTCAGCACTCCTGTCATTTTACTGTAATATTTTTACTATTAGTTTCTCTTGTCTCATTTAACAGGCAATACTAAAAATGTCTACTGCTTCACAGCCATTTATTGTTTGAAGTAAATCTACCTTTTTATCTTCCTTTTTTGTTTTTCACCGGCTTGGCACATTGCTGGAGAGCACAGGAGCACAGAATTAAACCTCAATTTTACCTTCACATTTCAAGAAAATGTCAATTTTAACAGGGAATTCAGCTCCTCCATTCTTCCTCTAAAAATATATTATTAGGTCAATTTAATTCTGTTACTGTATTCTGTTCCTTGATCATTTTAATCCAAGGCATCTGGCCCAAATCTTTTATATTCGGTGTCAGGTTCCGGTTCAAAAGAACTGATCTCAGAGGTGCTGACCCATGTGAAAGCCACTTGAAAACTCAGATTTTCTTAGGCTTTAAGATTCCTGCCTTGCTTTTTTAAGTCTTGTGCTAAGATTATACAAATAAAAAAGAAAATCAAGAAATGTAAAAGTTAGAGCTTTAGAGGTAGAAAAAGAAATAAAGGCTTGAAGAGAGAAGAAAAGTTCAGCAGGAAAAGAAGTGTGAAAGCAGATGTTTTGAATGACTTGGTAAAGCACAAGCTCTGTTATTGCAAAGGAAATTGAAAGGTGCTTGGGGAAGCAGCCTCTGACATACTTTGTCTCAGTATTCTGATTGTTCTGATTATTAAGAGCACATGGGAACACTTTTTGGCTGCGGATTATTTGCACTGGAGACTGCTATTTTGTTGGGGTAGTGTCTGACACCTCACACCCACACCTCATACCATAGATAGTGGTACAAGGTTATCCCTGTTGTGCCATTAGGTGGTATAAACCATGAGTAACAAACAGAAAAGTAATGCAAGTTGACTAGAGCTTGCAGAAGGGCATGATTCCAAAACAGTGCATAGTCACATTTTGGATTGGGTCCTCTTCCACCATGAACTAAGGGGCTTCAAAAAATGTGTGACATGCTGCACCATTTTGTTTTGGTGTGATGTGAGGTCAGACTGCAAAGTGAAACTGAAACTAATTACATTCTTCTGGTTTATTTCTGTCCTGTTCTGTTCAGGTTGACCTGCTTGCCCCTACAAAAATCACTGGCATAATTACCCAAGGAGCTAAAGATTTTGGTCACGTCCAATTTGTGGGGTCCTACAAGCTTGCTTACAGTAATGATGGGGAGAACTGGATCGTATACCAAGATGACAAACAAAAGAAGGATAAGGTAAAAAAATAGAAGATTGATATTTCAGTTGCATTACTACAGAGGTCTACATCTGTAATGACGCCAGTGCTGTAAGACTGTAGATTATTGCATGCTGCCTGTTTCATAGGGTTCCATATGTGTGGAATCACACAGATAAAAGTCAAGGTGAATGAAAGAGAGTCATATAACACAATGACATTCACAGTGCTGTAATACCATACCTATCAATGCAGTGCACCTGATTTAACACTATTAAATATGGGACATAAAACTTCATAGTTTTCCTTTTATTGGAATTGCTTCTTCCTTTAACTCCAGGGGAGAAGGTATATAAATAACAGTTTATTTGTATATTCAAGATCTATGTCTCTGTATTTTAATAAGTATGCATTATTTTCTGAGTTTTCTTTAAAGCACATCTTTAGGATACCTCATTACCTAGCCATTTTGGCTTCATTTTTAAGTGGAAATTAATCATTGGGTTTCAAATACCCAATGGAAAGATTATTGGTTTATTGCGCTATTAAATGAGCACAAAACATAAAAAAATTGTCAACTTTTTTTGCAAATGTTTAATGAGAGGCATAGAGAAAGTATAGGTTTGCTAATTGATTTACCTGCAAGCATTTAACTTCTCTTGTCATTTAGGATATTATACCTTTCCTTTAAACTGTATTAGACTTTTATACACCTGAATTCATAGTATCATCTCTTAAGAAAGGGATTACAGCATATGCATTGCTTAAGGGAAACATTAAGAAAGCTGACAAAATGTGAATTATTTATTAAATGTCTTAGTGGGATTTTGTCTGATTGAAACAAAAGATACATTAATAAAAATAACAGATGGCTGATAGGTCTGATGCTGCATCTCTCAAACACGGTGTTTTTAACAGGATGATGAATGTTCCCACTTGTCCTTACTTTTCTTAAAGTAAACAAAAATTCTTCAGTAAAATTTCATACCCTCCGTATAGGTCAGTTATTTATTTTTTTTCTGAGTAATAAGGAAGCTTTTGATATGTATTGATCTGTGTTGTGTGGGTACAGGTAGATCTATTGATGAAGGGTTAGGCAGCTGCATCCCTTACATTTTGATGATTTTAAGTGATTGATCAAATGTACACCCATTATTTTTAGGGGAAAGTGTTCTAAATTACTGGATTAAATATGTACATAGCTGGATGTGTGTGTTTGCATAGAAGTGTTATGTTTGTAAGATTGTTATCCAGAGATGATGCTGTAAAGTCCCAGTCTTAAAACCCAAATGGCAGTTTACTGAGGTTTTATCTTGCTCTGAGATTTTTGCCTACTAAACTCTAAAGTACTTTAGATAGGGAAAACAATATCAGTTGCTTTAGCCATCCAACTGAAAAGGTCCTGACACCAGTGATTATGGATGTATCTTGTATAACTGGTTGTCACATAAAAATTGGAAACAACTCACCTTTTGTAGATGTAACATAAATGCATTCAATACAAATGACAGATAGTCACTTCAGTACTTTGCACACATCCCATTGTAAGTCCCTGGCATTTAAAAACAGAAGCAAAAGGTCTGCTGTGAAATGAATGTTTTCTCCAAGCCAAGCTTGTATTAGCAATCTGTTTCATTCAAGTTACTAAAATAGGGAATATGCGTTCAAGTCTTTAGTGAGGAACACAGCAGCAGTCACAAACAGATCTAAAATAAAATGCACTCTGACTTAACAGCACTCTTATAAATGGCAATGGCGAATGTTATAAACAGTCTACACTTGTTTATAACATTTGCCAAGGCGATCAAGTTCTTCTCACTTTCACCATCAGCTGGATTGTTATTTGCTATATACATATTCTATGACAAACAATGGAAAACTCTTAATCATTGTCTTATTAAAACATCTCACATGCCGTACTAATTAACATCCCTAAGAATAGTTGCATATTATTATGATTCTGTAAAAAATAAAGAACAGTTAAAAGTAGAATGTGATCAAATACACTTAGCTGGAAATTAGAAGTAACAACTTGTGAATTTAAATGTGTACAAAATAAACAAGATACTCAATACAAGGCTAGATCTCATCCTGTGATAAACAAACATTAGTCCAAACTGTACTGTGACACAGTTCTGGAAACGTCAAAGTCTTACAGCAGGATCTGACATTCCAGAAATGCTAGCTGTCTGTCAGCTTGGCAAAACTTTATAGGAGGTAGGGCTAGAAAGGATCTCAAGACAGCATCTAGACGCATTATTTGTTGACCTTTGTAGAGACTGTGCTCTTCTCTTTCCATCCCCTCTGAGGTATCCTCAGCAGGATATGAGATCGAACAAGCCCCAGGTCCCATCCTGCCACCCTAGGAGTAGGCTCAACAGTTCATTTTCAGAACTAAAGCTTAATTCACTCACCTGTCTTTCACCTCATACAATGATCGTACCCTGCACCATTCTCCATCAGATTATTATTTAACAGCTGGGGATGAAAAGTCTATACTCCCATGTTTAATATTGTTAAAAGTGGAAAGATCGCTTATCGCCATCCCAGCAACACACCTGACTGTCCTCACAGGCAAAAAGAAGTGTTATCTTAATCTTTTCAGTTTGTTTGTTTGAAGTACGTTAAGCGATTTCTTCTTGGAAAAAGAAAGAAAAAACAAAAACAACAATTATCTACTCTTGCAGTCTTTCCTCAAAGTGTATGGTTTCTCAACCTCGGATCAGTCTTCCGTGTTCTTCTTGGATGAGCCCTTCCTGAAGTGTGGTTTCCAAAACTTGCTATAGTGTTGCAATCTTTAGCACAGAACTAGTGCCTGTTCCATTATTCTGGATATTCTACCTGTGACATTGATTATGACTTCCTAAGGTTTGGCTTGCTAGTCATTGTTATTAAATTGCACCATTGATCTCATTTTGTAAAGACCACCCTGAACTTTGATACTGCCTTTCGAAATGGGAAAATCTTGGCCACATCTTCACTTCTAACAAGCAAATTTATTTCCATCATCTATTTTATTACTGTGAATACACAAATTGCACTCGCCCAGTAAAAGCTTACAGTTTGACACCAAACCCTTCATCACTGCTCCAGCTAGGCATGTGTTGATCCAGTGTATTCTGGTGGCAGTTGTCCACACTGGATATGTATAGAACCAGAAATACTGGCTACACTCTAGCCTGTGCAGTGGGACAAAAATATATATGAAAAATAAAAACAGCCTAAGAAAAGCCATGATGTATCTTACTTATAGCGAGCAGAATTAAAATAGCATCACTGGTCCTGTCTGATAGTGACAACTTTGCACAGGATCTGCAACAATTTCCTCAGTTTAAGTCATGATACAAGATTTGGCCCAAAATGCAAGAACACTGCAGAAGAAAATGTGTTTTCACAACAAAGTGAAACTTTGTTTCTTCTGTCTGTATCAGGAGATACAGAAAAGAGATGAAAGACACACACTGGCAACTATCAACAGTGGCAAGCATAAATTATTCATAATTTACCCTCATTCATTCTATTTATTAACTGAACATCTTGATTTCTTCTGCCAATTATAGAACACCATAGATTCCTTATTTCCTCTGCAGGTGATTTAGTCATCCTATACTCATCCTGTGATCCTTGTGCAATCATCCAATAAGTTAGGAGAAAGATTGTTCTCAAAATTTTAAGGAAAAGGAAGACAGGATAAAAGAAAAATAACTAAAGTCAGCAGAAAATATGCCATTTTGCATTCTGGAAAAGCAAACATAAAAAGAACGTCTCAGACGCAGAAATTATGGACATATTGGTAGGCTGGTAATAGTGATTTGCAGATGAATATTGTGACTTTATTTGATGTAAGAGCTAAAAGCTCTGTTCTGATTCCTCCATCTCACTATTCAGCAGTTTACAGAGTGAGTCCTAATGTATCAGCTGATCTCAGTGAACTCCTGAAGCTATTCCCTTCTGCCTTTTCATTTGGAAAATTACTTCACTGAGGAAAAGATATTGGTATCTTCTGTTCACAAGTGCACTATGTGCAGCCTGTATCTTTGACCATTCTGCTACAAAATAGTCATTTCAAACAGAAGGAAATGTGGTGCTGTTTTCTTCTTTGCACCATTGCAAATGGAGAAGCTGTTCCAAGAAGAGTGGCTCCTGCAGCTCCTGTTTGGCTTCTGTTATTTTAACAGCCATCATTTGAATTCATATCTGTGCTGAACTTCTAGGAATGCAGATGAATGGGGAGAGGAGGGGAGGGAAATGCGTCTTTAAAATGTCTCTTTCATTTTAAACAGTTTGAATGAACTGCCTGAAAAATATGAAAGCTTTTTCTCTTGCCTTCAAGAACCAAAATAAATTCCATTGCGGACTGTCAAGTAGGAAGAAAGTGTATTTTAGAAAAAAGGACCAGAGCTAATAGCTATCTAGTTTTTCTCAACTAGAGGTCAGTAGCTCACTATGCCTCTAAACCTAAGAACATACAAACCAAATCTGACCCTTTTTTTTCTTTTTAATCTGTTTCCACATGTTTTATAAATTGCATGGTCTGCTGTAGGTAACTCAAGGCCAGCTGCAGTGTCAAATGGCATTTTAGAGGCCATTTTTTAAAATAAGAGGAGAACATTTGGAAGCAGCCTAGAGAAGGCCATCAGTCTGCAGCACTGTCAGTCACTATTAGCCACAGCAGTGCAATTAATGGTAGATAGACAATGTCTGGTATGCAAATGGACACTGGATTTGTGCACAAAAGATGAACTAGTTGTAAGTTATATTCTTTGCATACATAGTTAGTTGCCACAGCAACAGAAGACAGGAACCTACTTAAAAATGAAAAGTTAGATCATGTCAGGTTAAAAATCTTTCTGCTAGGTTTGTGAATGGTTTTTGTGTGCTGTGTTTAATTACTACAGTGGCTGGTTTGCATTGATAGATTCAGCTCCTGCATGTAGTCCACATACTTTGCACAGCCAAAGAACTTTCTTTAGTAATGTTATTTAAATTATTATAATTTAATGCTATTACTTAAAATAATATTTCTGATCTAACAGTATT